CATATACATATATATACATATATATATATATATGCATATGTATACGCACGTATTTACGCTGAGGTAACAAAATTATGACTTTTGTTGACTAATACGAAAAAGAGCATCGTACGAATAATTGTTTTGTGTCATTTAAAAAAAAAAAAAACAAAAAAAAGTAAATTTTAATCAAATATATAATAAGATTAATAATAATTATTACGATGATAATCGTACGCGTAATAAAATTCACGACAAAAAACGCTTTTAATTGTTTTTTTTTTTCGAAACAAAAGATTCTCTCGTTCATAAAAAATAAGCTAGAATGAATGTTTATTCCTTTTTTTCTATTTTCCAACTCTCTCATTTATTTCATGTTAAATTGTTCTAATTTTGAATTATAAATTCTCGGATTTTATTTAAAATCAAATATATTAAAGCGTTTTAATTACCATTCTTCGAGTAAAACAAAAATAACATGGCCTCTCTCTTCACAAATAACGATCCACATTTTGTAGGATATTCAAATAGCAATTTATTAATTAATTTTCTCTTTTATTTCAAGTGTACTTTTTGCTACACGTAAGTACTAAATTATATCATATTGACTAAACGTTGTAATATATTCGATTTAAAAACGGTAAAAAAATGTTATTCAACAAAGTAATTCAACTTCACGTGAAAAACGACACTTTTTATTTCTTTTCTTTTTTTCTCGCTTTTTTAACTAAATACGACACGATACTTGACTCTCGTCCATCTAACCATTTGTTTATTCCATTGGTTGTAATACTCACGTTGCTAACTGGATCGTTGTTGCTTCTTTAAGAAATAACGATCTGTTGCAAATGCTGCACCTTTCTAATTCAAGTGCATGCCACTTGCATAACCTTAGGGATTGATTGGTCTCTACTCACTTCTCTATTCGACCCTGAAGTTACAAGATCCGCAATTGAATTCAGAATCTAAATTTATCCCCCCCCCGCACATGCATTTTAAAATACAATACACACAAGAGTACTCGTTACATTGACTCAATTCGATGAATTCATTACCATTCTATCAATAACACGTTAATTAGATGTTGCATTTTCACGAACAAATGTGTCCCCTTAAAATTGCGTCAATTTTTTTTCTCTCTTTTCCTTTTTTTATTATTGATTTAATTCTTCCTTTGTTATATCTTTCTTACGTCGAAATCGCAAGAATAAATTTGTCTTGTAAAATTAAAACGGCACGATAAATAATACGTAAACGTGATTTACATTCTTTAGAAGAATTTACACTTTTAATAAAGTACTTCCGCAAACGAAGAGATTACTAACTTTACCAACGATGGAATACAAAATTTTCGTAGAATCTTCTATGGAAAAAACGTTTGAGAAGCTCTGCTACAGATTGATGCTGCAAAATTTCTTACGTTAAACGAACTTCCATAAAGCTTGAAAAGAAAATGGGAAGTAATACGAAGATATAGATAATTTGTGTTAATTTCTTTGTTCTCTCTTTCTCTCTCTCTCTCTCTCTCTCTCTCTCTCCCTCTCTCCTCTTCGTTTTCTTTCCGTTCTTTCATTTTCTTTAAATTTTCTTAACGTCTCGAAAAGTAACTTTCCAATAAAGTAGATTAAAACTTCGAGGCTTATACATACTCGTAAAAAGGAAAGTGAGAAGTATTAAGAACATATCGATACGGATGTTTGAACGACACTTCGTCGATACACATTCTACGAACTTTCTCGATATTATGCAGATGTTACAATGGACGTGTAAACTTTCGCTCGGACGATACTGCAACGTGATATCCAAGGATTGGAGAAGCTAGTTTTCGTGAGTTAATTTATAGATCGAAACTTGCGTTAAACCGTAATTGTGCTACGAACTTTAAAATTTAATGTCGAAAGAAGAGAAAAAAATGATAGGAAGGATATAAAAAAAATAAAATAGTCATGATAATTTCTTTTTTTTTTTTTTTGTAATAAAAGGAACCATTTTAAAGAAAAATCGAAACTTTTTTCTCTCTTTCCCTCCCTCTCTATCTATCTATCTATCTATCTCTCTTTT